CCCCGTTTGGGTCAACCCGATCTAGGCAAGCCGCGACGCCTCGCCTCCGCTCGACTCCCTCGCCCCAGACAGCCTCCGATTTGATCCCCCCCTGCGCGGCCGCGGAGGCCCCGACCCCGTCACCCCTTGGTTGGCAGGCGCTCGCGCCCATAACCCCTTCGCGAGGGCCCTGCATGCCCGAGGGGCCCAAGAAGGACGAGCCCTGGAAGTCCGCGTTTTCTTATTCGGCGCTTCGACAGTGGGCGGCAAGGGTAGGGGGCCACATGCGAACCCTACCCCTACCCCCCACGATTTCTGAGGGGGTAGGGGTAAAGTTCGCATGTGGCCCCCTAAAGAGGGGGGGCGGGTCAGAGGCCGGGCGAATGCTGGCAAACCCGTGGCTGCTAAAACAAAGCTCCAAGAAATGGTTTTCTCTGCCGGGGAGCAGCCTGTTTCCTATGTAGCGCGCTGGGCTTTCTTCTGGGAATTTGTTTTGATCTTCCGGTAAGACCGTTTTAGCAGCCACGGATTTGCGAGCCCTCGCCCAGCTTCCGAGAGGGGGGGGGAATCTGGCTCCGGACCTCTGCGTAGTGCGGCTGTATGCACCCGTGCGTCCTACGGGGTAGGGACTCCCCCTGCTCGAAACATGCGCCCAAAACAGCCAAGATCTACTCCATGGGGGGGGAGGGCGAGGGCCCGCGCCGATCGGCAAAACAACGAATACAAGAAACGATCACAGGGCCGAGACGGCGGAACGACTGACGAGCAAACGCACCCTCAGGTGGTGACCGCTACAGAACTTCCCAGCACATCGCCGATAAGAATCCTTGTTCGAACTCACGAGCAAACGCACCCTCAACAAGCGGCGCACTTCCCCCACCCTGTGGGACTCTTCTGTTGTCCATTGTTCGTCTGCAGCAACCCTCTGGCAAAGAACGAGACCCGGGCAGAGTGGACTCGCGACAGCGACCTGCCCCCCTGGGGCCGCGGCCTCAACAAAAAACAGACTGGCGCCGTCTGCATCAAACGGCGATGACGACGCCGCCGTCTCCATCGCCCAAAGAGGCGGCGGGGGCACATCAGACGACGATGACGACGACGACGACGACGACGACGACGACGACGACGACGACGACGACGACGACGACGGAGGACGACGACGACGACGACGACGAAAACGGCGACGATGACGACAACGGCGACGGACGACGACGACGACGACGACGGCGACGATGACGACGACGACGACGACGACGGACGACGACGACGACGACGACGACGACGACGACGACGACGACGACGACAACGACGACGACGACGACGATCTCTAGCGGCGGGGGGGGGCGGCGGCCGCCCCGCCTCGGCCAGGCCCGCAGGGCCGGGCCGCGGCGGCTCCGGGCGCGCATCCCGCAGGAACCTGTGGCGTCCGCGTGGCGGCGGCGGGGGCGACGGCGCGACGCCCCGTGGACGGGCCGCAGCCAGAGGCCTCCTACCCGAGGTCGGAGTGGATGGGGTCGGAGGATTGTGCTGGATCGCCGATGTATGGCCGATGCGTCGGCGACGCATCGACGACGCAGCGCCGACGTCGCCCCATCGACGGCCACACACGGTGGCGAGCGTGTTCCACCACCACCACCACCACCACCACCAGAAGTGGGAGGAGGGCTCCTCCTCCTCCTCCTCCTCCTCCTCCTCCTCCTCCTCCTCCTCCTCCTCCTCCTCCTCCTCCCCCTTTTCGTCTTCCTCTTCCTCCTCATCCTCCACCCCCTTCCCCCCTCCAGTTTAAGCTTGTGGCGGTGAAGAACAGGCCCATCACCTCGAGCGGGGTGGTCCCTGACCCCTCTCCAAACCCCCTCGCCTTCCGCCGCGCTTCCGCCGCGGAAGAGATGGCAACTCCTTCGGTCCTCGAAAGGGAAGTGCCTTTAACAACACCCCATATGTCCTCCTTGGAAGCGCGCGTCCGACCCGAACGTTTAAAATGCCCATATTGTAATACATTGTTTCTCGAGCGGCGTGGCCGAAAAAAACGGGCCACGGCGCAGAAATTCTTAGCGCGCGCGTCACTCCTGGGGGGGCGATGCACAAATAGTATTGGCATGTAGGGGTGACGCCGGCCTCCAAATCGCGAAACAAATAAGAGAAAAAGGAGATTGTGCGTTTTTTCGGCCGCGGGCCCCCCCAGGGCCTCGAGACCGTCTAGGAACGACCCGGGATGAGAAACCGGCCCCGGGGAGCGGGTCCACACCTCTGGGGGCCGACGCTGTGATGATGATGGTGATGATGATGATATACATATATATAAATATAAAGATTCATTCATTCATTCATTCATCCATCCATCCATCCATTCATTCATTCATACTGCGTCAGTACCTCACTGAATCCACTTGAAGATGCAAACGTACCGCAGAGCCTGACACATCATGTCCGACACATCGTGCGTGAGGGCTTGTACTCTGGAACGGAGCACGATGCCAGGCATATACATATACATATATATATATACACACACACCTATATATACACACACACATATAGCGTCGGGGGTCAGGGGTTGCGTCCCTGAGGTCCTGGGGGTGTCATTTTTTCAGCGGGCGTTTCCGCCCAATGGTCAAGGACCCAAACATATGAAAACATATCGATCCGGCCCAGAAAAAGTAACACAGAAAGATGTATTTCTGGCTCGCAAGGCTCCAGCTGCAGTGCAGGGTGGCCGTGGAGAGAGCCACGGCCTCAGCAGAGACAGGTGCAGCGACGCCCGAAGTCTGCCGTGCAGGGCGACCTCGTTAGACACCCCTCACACCGCTTCCAGCGGTGGACGGGGCTGGGGCACGATGGAGGGCACGCGCAGTGAGTGCCCCCCCTGAAACTAAAGGAAGTCCGACGACGTTCGCCAGACACGGCATCCACATCAGTCTACTGAGGGAAGCGTGCGCCTGACCAGAACAGTGGGTGACGATCGGGCACGGGCCTCACGCGATATGGCACAGCAACATGACGCGGTGGCTTACGCTGGCCGGTAGCGCGGCACGCTACAATGGAGGCGGTGAGCGCTCACGCGCAACCTTACGCGGCCAGCTGACGCGCCAACGTCGGTGAAGACGACCCATTCGAGCAAATCACACGTCACCGCGCCGCTCCTCTGGGCGCGCCTGGGCAAACGAAACCGGCACCGCTTCAAGCCTCTCGGCAAACCTTGCGTCCGAGGCGAAGATTGCCCCAGTGGCCGAGGCGCCCTCCCAAAACGGAAGGCCGCGCGTCGGAACAAACGGCGCGGCCAGACCATGGACGGGCCGCAGAGGGACATCCAGAAACCTCAGATGGTCTTGAATGCTATCTGGCCTCCCACGCCTAATCTCTCGGCTGGCAATTAAATTCGTTTTTCCCCTCCTCGTCATTCCTCTCCTCGTCCCCCCCCCTCGCCCTCCCACGCACTGGGCGCCTCCAGCTAAGCCTGCGGAATCATCCCGCCTCCTGATTCTGTGTGGTTACTGTGGTTCCTTCTTGGAGGCGTGCGTCCGACCAAATCCTACCGGCGACGATCAGAAACGGGTCTGAGTTACGCGGTATGGCACAACGACCTTACGCCGCGGCTCACGCGGGCCGGCAGCGCGGCACGCTACATTGGAGGCTGCTGACGCTTCCGCGCGACCTTACGCGGGCAGCTTACGCGCCAACGTTGGTGAAGACGACCCCGATTGTTTGCGTCGCTCGTGTGCTTCGAGGCGTGCGCCCGGCGGAGCCGCCCCGCCGGCCTTCCGGCCGCCTTCCACCGAGGAGGCGATGTCAACCCCTGCGGCCCTCGAAGGGGAGGCCCCCGTCTGGAGCGCCCCATATAGCACTGCCAACTCATGGCATATCGTTACCCCAGCGGCATCAACGCCCGCCACCGAGCAGAAACAGTCGACCCGTATAAGAAGGACGCGCGGGAAGGAAGCAAGGACCTTAGGGTGCCACGTTGACGTTTTTAGAACGAGGTTGGCCAGCGAAAGTAGCTAAGGATTGGCCGAAGGGGCAAGGATGCACAGGTACCCTTGGGCAGGTTGCCCATCCTTACTATGCGGGCTGTCTGTACCCCAGCGGTATGGCCGGACAGCGCCCTCCCCCGTGCATATAGCATGAGGGTTCTGAGCGCGCGAGTCGCTTCTCTGGGGGCGTAACATGCACGGTATGAGTACGTTTGGGTGCCGCCGAGTTGAGGTGGTGCACATGCTCAACGCTGATCGACGGGGTAGCTGTCAGCATCGCAGTTGAAGAATCTTGGTGCGATCTAGGTCAAAATGCTGCGGGGCAGGCCAGCGGTGAGATGTCGCTGCCGCGTCAGCACTGGACACCCCCGCGACGACAGGCAGCCGACGCTCTGCCTGAAAGCAACGCCCGCGGCGGCGGGGGCTGGGGGCCGGATGACGGCCGCCGTTGGGCGGGCGACGAATTTGTCACAGATCATCGTAGGACAAAGGCAGGACGAGGATTGACGGTGCCCTCTCCCCTGTCGCCTCATCGCTCGTTCCCCCATCGGTGCTCGCGTCCTCGTCCTCGTCGTCGTCGTCGTCCTCCGACCAGGTTTTGCGTGCCGCACTTGTGAGAGATGGGGGTGCATCGGGAAGATCTGAGAACTGGCGGGTCCAGAGAACGTATCGGGCGGCGCGGCCGTCTCAGAGCGTTCCGGAACCATGTTTCCTTTTTTCCAGGCCCGCCTCACGGCATGCGCGGCGACGCGGACTGCTGCCAGACTTCCTCGCCATTCTCTCCGTGCACAGTTGGATCGCACAGGGCGGCGCTTAGTGCGGGGCGATACATGGGCGGGAGGGAAGACGGTGCGCTCCTCGCGGGGCCTCGAGTCCCCCTTTGTTGGAGCCGAGAAGGCCACCTTAAAGGGGCCCCGAAGGGGTCCTTCTCGGCAGCCCTCGCTGCCCACTCATTGATCGCCCACCCACTACGCCAAAGCCCAATCGTGCCAAAGCCCAATCGAGGCCCAATCGTGCCGAAGCCCAACCGTGCCAAAAACAAATATTCAACGACAGTGAAACATTGTAAAACAGATCGCCACCATGATATATTCTGAGACTATTTCTGAATATTCCTCCTGTAGAGGGACGCGCCCGAGGGAAAGCCTGCGGCCTCTGGGAGCCCTCGCGGAACGACTCGGATGGAGAGGCCGGCCCCGGAGAAGAGGTCCGGGGCCGGGGCCGCGAGAGGCCTCCTCCCTTCGGGTCGGCCGGCTGTGGAGGGGCCGTGGGACACGCAAATGAACGGACACAACTACCAGGGTTCTTCCCCCCCATTTCCCATACTTTCCCTCTGGGAAGCGACGATGAATTGTGTGTGTGTGTGCTTTGCTCCCTCCCGAGGCTGGGCTTCGAGGTTTGGGCTTTGCGGGGTTCTCGGGCGTTTTTTTTCGCGCGGGCGCTCTCCAGCCTCGGGGGCGTTTTTTCTTCCAGCAGCCGCGCCCCGCCGGGAGCGTTCCGGGGCTGTGCGAGTTGGGCGGCGCGCGGTGGGGGGGGGCGGTACATGATGGCGCATTGCGGAGGCTCCGAACCCCACAAAGGTTTTCATACGCAGGAGGCATCTATACACCACCACCGTGCCAAGCTAGAACCATCCTGGCCCTGGCATGGTGTATACGCCCTCCTGGCCGAGGCCAGGAAGCTCTATACACCATCCTAAGGCCCAGGATGGCCCTGCCCTGGCACGGTGGTGGTGTATAGATGCCTTCGTCGGATTTTCATCTCCTGGGGGCGCATCTTGTACTTCCGCCGCCCTCCGCTGGCTTGCGCCAGCGAAGGCGGCCTTGCTTTACGTCTGCCGACCTTCCGCCGAGGAAGAGATGACAGCTCCTCCTCTCTCCTCACAGGCAAGGCTTTTTTCGGAACGCCCCAGCTGAGGGGGGCGGGGAGGAGAAAGGTGGACTCTTCGGGTCCTCAAGGCCCCCTTGTTGGGCCCGAGAGGGCCCCTTTCGGGGCCCGAAGGGGCTCCTTCTCTGCAGCCCTCCTCGCTGCCCCCCCCCTCCCCAACCTTCGCCCCTCAATTACGCGACGCCCAAGGTGTGTTTCCAGCAGCTGCGGCCCGCCGAAAGCGATCCAAGGGTGGTGTCCGACCCGTGCCGGGCTGCCGACGGAGGCCCGAGCTGTACGACCCGAAGGCCAGGCGACGAGATCGCCGGGGGCCGGGCAGCCGGAGGGGATGCCTAGATCACCGCGGAGGGTGCCGAGCAGATGCCTGCCACGGGAGGATTCTTCGAGGGAGGCTGCCTATTAGGAGGCGCGGGCCTGGCTGTAGATGTCAGGCCCGCGCCTTCTAAAAAGCAGGCTCCCTCTAACAAGCCTTCCCCCTTCCGCCTACCCCGGCCCTACCCCCCTAGATCTGCGCGCCGCCAAGGATAGGAGGTCACAAGTGGAGGCCAATGTGTGTTACATCTGGATAGACATGGCTTATAAGTGGGTCCGAAATACCCCATGGCTTTGGGGGGTAAAGATCCGGGCTAACTAAAGCGGGCTCCGCCCACTCAGCGGACCAATCGAACCAACCCAGGCCACTCAGGGCACTTGTGACCGCTTATGACCTATGTTAGGCTAGATCTAAGCCATCTTGGCATCCACGTATAATAGACCCCTCATTCCAATATCAACCACAGCAGTGATCGAATGATCCGCTCCTTTTCGTTCCCCCCGCCACCGAAGATAAGACGGCAACAAAAGAAAACAAAACACAGACCAGCAAAAACGAGATGATGTTGAACCAGGGATCTCATAAAGCCCGCGGCTCTAAAGGATGTCTTGGGCGCCGCGGAGGCGTCTTCGTCATAAGCGGAGGAGGGGGAGGATCCAGAGACTCACGAGCATGTCATGGGGATCGGAGAACGAGGCAATTAGCCAAAAAGGGACGATACTCATATCATACGCTAATCCATAAGATAACTCTGCTCGTATGGGCGTACGGAGGAAGAGGAACGAGGACACACGAGGAAGCAGCAGTGAAGAGGAGAAGAAGGGAGGGAGGACGCGTGAGGAGGAGAAGGAAAGGAGGAGGAAGAAGAGGGAGGAGGGAGGAAGGAGGACCCGTGCCACCTCCTGGAGATCGCCTCTAAGCGGAAGTGGGTGATGATTGCAGAGCTGGTTGTGGCGCGCATGCGACCTTCCGAGGGAGACGTCGTCCATCATCGCGACGAAGGCAACGGGGTCGGCTATCAGTGACGGCGTCGGCACCTTCACTGGAGCACGATGCAAGCGCAAATCAGGGCCAGGAGAGCGCAGAATTGACAGAAAAACCGGCTGTGAGAAATGAAACGCCGAGACGGATGGCAAATTCGTTACGCCTCGCGCATCCAAACTTGCCAATGCAGAAACGAATCTCAGTCAAGCTGTCGCGAGAAAGGCCTACCAGAACAACAACTGCAAACATAAGCTCCTTGAGGTCCGCGCGGACTTCAAGACTGTCGCTCAGTCTGGCCTTCATGCGCCTCCAGTAGCTCGCAGTGGTTCTCTGGCACCCCTACTTGGCCGATTCCGGAAACCCTGAGCACGAGACGTTGCCATCTTTCGGGGACGCATGCTTTCCTTCCGCCGGCTTCCGCCAGCCTTCCGCCGGCGGAGCCGCCCTTGTTTTACTTCCGCCGCCCTCTTCCGCCGCCCTCTTCCGCCGATGAAGAGATGGCAACGCCTTCGATCCTCGAAGGCGAGGCCCTTTCTGGAGCGCCTCCTTGTTTCTTCAGTGCTGTCCATCCCTCTCTGTTGCTCGCAGCTCGCCCTCTCCCTGCTTCGTCGTCTGCGTGGTTTGGCGGCCAGCGGTGCCGCGGGGGGCTCCACGCACCGCTTCATGCCCGGGAGGCCACTGCAGGTGCCCCTCGAGGTGCCGCCTTGGAGGCCACTGGAGGCCACCGCAGGCGCCTCTGGAGACCGCCGGAGGGGCCGCTGGAGGCCGCTGTCATGGCACCTCACTGGGGCCACCGGAGGCCACTGGAGGCCACTGGGAGCCAAATATAGGGCCACTGGAGGAGCCGCTGAGGGCCGCAGGAGGCTCGCGGGGGACCACTGGAGCCCGCGGGGGGTGCCACCGGAGGAGCCCCTGCGGCCACTCATGGGGACCGCGATAGGCTCCAAGGGGCGTCGCTCTGGACCCATCCCCTGGCGCGCGAAGCGTGCCAGTGGCGGCGCCGGAGGCGCCGCCAAGGAAGTCTAGCGCAGCGACAGTCTACGTGTATATCGTCGTTTGTTGTTCTACGGCGCGGGCAATCACCAGTGGAGAGCAGAGGGGAGGCACCAGTCAAACCGACGCAGGATGTTCCAACAATTTGAGGCGAGGATCGACTTCAGAATTGACTAACCCCCAAATTGACTTTCTGTCGAAACTAGAAACAATACGCAGAATGAATGCTCCGTAGATATGCGGAGCTTTCCACGTAGATTCGATGGGCGACTCAATCTTGGGGCCAATCAAATCTGAAGTCGATGCCTCCGCACTTCAGCTATGGCCAACCTGGGAACCGCTGGGAGCCTCTTGGGGGCCTCTTCGAGCCACCTCGGAGCTCTCTCGGGGCCTTTTCGGGGCCTCGGGGCCCTCCTCCCCGCCCGCTGGTTTCCCTCGCCTCCTCCCGCTGGGAGGGGACCCGAACCAAACCAAGGAGGAAGCGCCCTGGGCCTCATTGCGCCGGAGGAAAGTCCTGGATGCCGCGGTCAGGGTCTGATTGCGCGGCGGGTGGGCTTGATTGCGCCAGAATGGAGCACCGCTGACCAAGCGTGGGTCATCCTACCAAGTCTGGCGTATATGGTCTGGGTTTCCTGGCGCCCTCCTCCTGTTCCTCTTTCTCCTCTTTCTCCTCCTCCTCCTCCTCCTCCTCCTCCTCTTCCTCCTCCTCCTCCTCCTCCTCCTTCTCTTCCTTCTCTTCCTTCTCTTCCACATCCTCCCCGCGGCGGGGGGGCAGTTACTGCTCCGAGAGGGAGGCCACTGGAGGTGCCCCTCGAGGTGCCGCCTTGGGTTTGGGGCTCCTGGCGGCCTGCTCTTTCTCCTCTTTCTCCTTCTCTTTCTCCTCCTCCTCCTCCTCCTCCTCCTACTCCTCCTCCTCCTCCTCCTCCTCCTTCAGTTCCTTCTCCTCCACATCCTCCCCGCGGCGGGGGGGCAGTTACTGGTCCGCTGGGCACCGTATCATGGTGTTCGGCCTTACGCCAGGGGGCCACTGATAATGCCATGCGCGCTTCCCGGCTCGGTGTCAGCATGCCGGCTCGTGTTTCTGGGCCCCGCCCCGCGGCGCCTTGCCCAGGGCCGTGGCGCTCAGCTACGCCCGTGACGCTGGAACCACCTTGAGCTTCCACGCGCGGGGATCGTGCGTTTGGTGGAGTGGCGGGGCCGTGGTCCATAAGTCCCATGGGGCCTTCGTGCCTTCTCGCCCTGGGGTGCCAACCCAGTTGCACGTGTCATATGTTTTGGCAGGAATTGATGGTCGGGACGGACCTCACAAAGAGAGGGTGAACCGACCGTCACCCTACGCACCACCGCCATCGCGTATGAGCAGCGAGTCGCGGGGCGACAAGGCGCTGACCTGTACCTCCCCAGGGGCACCCCTTCGGGGCCCGTATTAGGAGGAGGAGGAGGAGGAGGAGGAGGAGGAGGAGGAGGAGGAGGAGGAGGAGGAGGAGGAGGAGGAGGAGGAGGAGGAGGAGGAGGAGGAGGAGGAGGAGGAGGAGGGGGGGGAGGAGGGGGAGGAGGAGCGAACGACCTCCCCTTTCACGTGGGGAGGGAGGTCTCCCCGTGTGGGGGGCGGAGAGCGGCCCTTTTGTGCGAGGAGGCGGTACTCTTTTTGAGGCAGCCCTCTCGCGCGGCTTCGCATAGTTGTTCTCCGTAGCTCCATGGCGCCTCCTTCACATCCTCGTCCCCGCCCATCCCATCCGCTCCCCTCGACTCATCAGCCATCCGGCAAGCAGAACCCTGCCCCTGCGGACAGAGACGTCTCGAAAAACTACGCAGGGGCTCAAAGCTAGAGGATGTCCGCGACAAGGTACCCCCCCCCCGCGGGAGGACGTCGGCAAAGCGGGGGCATGATTGTTCTGCGTTTGCCGATTCGAAGCAATCACCTGTTCCCCAAACAACGTTCACATCGAGGGGTTTTGGCTTTGCGTCCCTTTACTGACGTGGACGGGTCCGCTGAGGATTTTCCACGGCCGCCTCATGGGCGCTCGTGGGCGCCCCGTGCGCTGCGAGGGTCCGCCGAGGCTGCGCTACGCTGCCGCCCAGGCCGCCTCACGACGTTGACGATGACGATGACGATGACGATGATGGCTATGACGATAACGATGACGATGACGATCGTCGTCGTCGTGGTCGTGGTCGTCGTCGTCGGGTCTCGTGGGCGCCCCGTGCGCTGGGTGGGTCCGCCGAGGTCGCGCCGCGCTGCCATCCGCGCCGCCTCGGGGGGCGCGCGTGGGCGGGCCCCCGCTCGCGGGGTGGGTCCGCCGAGCTCGCGCCGCGCTGCCGCCCAGGCCGCCTCGGTGCGCGCTGAGAGTACACGACGCAGCGCACACCCCACAGCTCACGCACCACGTAGCCTGAACCGCACAGCTTGCACATCACAGCGCGCACGTCATGCTCCAAATCCCTTACTAATCGACAACAACAATCGGACGCCCTATTCCGGACCCCCCTCTTCGACGGGGCGCCTCAATAGCTTGCACAGCGTAGCTTTCCCCAGCCAGCCTCAGGTCGCATGTGCTACGCGACGTGGCTGGTTCCACATGGCTTTCGCCTGCATGGCTTGCACAACAGCAAGCTTGCACGACATGGCTTGCATATCATAGCTTACATCGCATAGTGTCCACATCCGCAGTGCAATATTGCAGCATTCAGGGCCCACGATAGCTGATATTTCTTTTGCTTCTCCCAGAAAACTCGAGCAGCGTGCGCATCAAACGTAGAATCGGCAAAAGGGAATATGTGCCAAGACGCGCCCTTGGACGAGAGCTCGTCGGCTCACCGACGCACTGGAAGAGGGGGAGGAGAGGGCACCGAACCTACGCATGAGACTGTGACGCTGCAGCCGAATTCGAGTCTTGAGAAAATCATGCAGCTGGAGGTCTCCGCAACCGTGCCCCCAGGTTCGGCGGCGAGCCCGTGGGGGAAGTGAGACGGAGAAGGCTTTCTCAGAAGGCTCGGATGTCCCCCGCCCTTCTGAGAAGTGTTCTACGCCTTCCCCGAAGGCACAGGAAATCTCTCAGAAGGCGCAAGGGTTTCTGAAAAGTTCCGCCGCCTGCTGAGAAGGCCTTCTGAGTCTCACTTCCCCCCCCTCGCCAGTCGCCGACCACCTGCTACGTTGAGGCATGGTATAACGCAAGATATGATGTATGGTAGGGTTTCTGTAGCCTTCTAGGGAGCACGGCCCCCTCTTCCAGAATACCCAAAATACTGTCCAAGGCGTCCGAGGCAGGACACTAAGGCCGCCAAACTGGCCCACGATGCCTCCAGGAAGGCATAAGATGGCCCTAAGACGGCCCCAGATGGCCTCGACACGGCCACGAGGCCTCCAAATCGGCTCCCAGCGGATCCCCAGTAGGCCCGAGGAGGCCAAAATCACTGGTGTTCCTCAATTCCCGAAGACATTCGCAATTCTCGCCTTCTGGGGCGTCGGTGCAACACGGCCCAAGTGGCCTCCAAGATGTCCCCAAGGCGGCCCAAGAGGGCCTCGGAATGACCCAAGAGGCTCCCAAGACGTAGAAGAAGAAGAAGAAGACGGCGTCACGACGTAGAAGAAGAAGAAGAAGAAGAAGAAGAAGAAGCGTCATAGACACAAACTTTCGACGGTCCGCGCGGATGTCTTGGATCTGCGCTGGGCACCCCTCCCTGGCGCGCGGAGCGCGCCAGGCGCCGCTCCGGAGGCGCCGCGGGGGGGGGGGGGGGGAAGGCCAGCGCGGATCCAAGAAATCCGCGCGGAGCCCCGAACATTTTTGCTTCTGGCGATTTTTCCTTTTTCGAAAACGGCCGAAGAGGGTCCCCAGACCGCCGCAAGAGAGCGGCCGCGTTGGATGGCCTCTCGCCAGCCTGAGGCGGCCCCACGACGAGCGCAGGAGTCCCCCAATATGTGGATGCACCTCCGCTCGTCCGCCGTATACTTTGCAAGTACCCTCAAAAATAACGTTGTTGCCAACATATAGGTTGCCAGAAGCGTTTTACAGTCGGCCCCTACCATAAGGATGCGCGATAAGGATGCTAGGGCCTTGGAAGGCCGTTGCGAAGCTTCTGGAGCGGGGCGCGGCCAACGAAAGTGGCCAAGGATGGACATAGGAGGCAAGGATGCAAAGATGCCCTCATGGGAAGGTTGCCCATCCTTACTTACTATGCGGGTTGAATGGAGCGTGTTACAACGATCCTGATTCGCGTCAAGTAACCACATTGAGCTCCTGCTGCTTGGATCTGATTCCACTCCCCCCTTTGCGAACTTCTTCTCTCTTCCTCGCCCTCCCGTGCAGTTACCTGGAGCGTGTCATTCGTCGCCTCCTGGCATGTTCCTCCTTTCCTCCGGCACTGTAACGCGGCGC